CTAAACTTGCATCCATTATGACCCAAATCAACCATCTATAAAGATGGGCATATACTAGGCCCTCCCTTTGATCATGGATGAAATCCTGGCCTTCACCCACCTGGTCCAGTCCACTCTCCTAAGGAGTCTCTAAGGTTCCCTTACCCTTTGCATCCTCTGGAGGTGGGGTCAGATTGCACTGAACCCTGACCTACTCTGTGAGTCCCAATTGGTCTAGTATGGCAACTTTAAGGGTCTTGTAAGCTGGGGGTGATTACACTTCCAGGGCCTGGTAAGCAGCCTGTGCCACCCCAGTTAACAGAGGGACCCCCTTCACAGCCCAAGTGTCCTGTGGCCACTGATAGGTCTCCGCCACCCACTCAAAAGTTGTGAGGAAGGCCTCCAGGTCATTTTCAAGTCCCATCTGGTGGAGTGAGCACTCTACCCTCTATACTCAGGAAATCAGGTGAGTCACCAACTTGTGGGGAGGGGGAGGGGGGTCTGCCTCGACTACAAATGATGTTTCAGGTATTTTTGCAGTTGCTGGGGCTGCTCCCTGTAGAGCTGTTGTTGATGGAGTTGAAGCTGCTGGAACAGCTGTTGTTGCTGCTACTCCAGCCCCTCTAGCCATTTTAGCAGGACTCCTGTCTCCACTGCTGGAGTTAAATTTAGAATCCTCGTGTTCTCCACTATGTGTCGCGGGTTATCACTCCTTTCACCAGGAAGTTGTATTTTTTTCTGGGGAAAACCTGCCCCACAGAAAACAACATAAACAATAAAGCAAACAAGTATATCAATAACAAACAGCTAAATTAAAACCTGTGGTCCTTTCTCAGACTCTGAGAGGGCAACTGTGGCTCTGTGCTTCCCCCTTTTCTTGCTACCCTCCCTGGGGGTTTTTTAACTTCCTCTAGAGCCAGCCAATCATCCCTGTTAGCTGGCCCAATGCTCCTAGGCAGGTAGGCTATTGTCCTCTAACCCCTGGCAGCTGCGGTCCAGCCTCAGAGCCTTGTATCTTGTTACGCTCAGCAAACAAAAAAATAATCCTATAGCTCAGTCAAAAGGAAAGAATCTTGTGTACATACACTGTTTACTGCACAGCCGAATAGATTACTTAGAAGCAAAGCAAGAAAGTTTACCAGATAGACAGATTTAAAGTAGCTCCAATTCTTTGTTATATATTCTGTGATCTTAACAAGAAATCAACATAAAACAGAAGTTATCAGAAGGACAGTCAGCAATCATCTGCGAAATATTTGCCATACATATTTCACCAATGATGGTGCAAACATATCATAATATTGGGACTGAAAAATAACAGCAATATATTTTATTAAGTAACTTCAGATGTTTACTTAGAATTCTGTAACAGCAAATAAACTGCTTAACTACTATGCTGTGATATGAAGAATGTAAAGAACAGACCTCATATTTTAAAATTTTTGAATACTGCTGAAAATCTGCTAGGTAATAAGAAACTAAAAATAGCATTTCTAGTGTTAACTTTCCAAAAAAGTAGTTAACTTCATATATGACCTGTAATCTTTTGCTGCTTAACAGAGGTATTGCTTGTGGTTCTTGCACAGATGTTTTCTTTTAATTATTTTACTGTGTTTAAGTATTAGCAAAAATTGGTATATTATCTATGTAAGAGATTGTTCAAATATAAGCAGACATCAAAACTGGACAGAAAGCCTAATTTGATTGCCCTCAGGACAGAATATCTAAAAAGATAAAAGAAACAAACATCTTTATTTGGACCTAAAATTTAGTTACAAGAAGTAGGGATTCAGGAGAAAGGCTTGGTAAATCTGCACAATAGAGAAAAGTCTAACATAAGCTTTAGTTGTCCATACAGTTCATATTACTATTCTAACACGATTAAATTGCTCATTTCCTAGATAATAAAAAAACTTTGTTTTTACTAAGACTTTTGTTTTTTCTTTAAAAGTGTGTACATTGTCAGAGATTCCAATCTGCACCTCGGATGAGAAGCTTAAAGTCTGAGATATGTTAAAAAAGGGGTAGGCAACCCCCAGTATGGGTGCCAGATTGTAAGTATGCGAAAGCATTTTGCTTGGCACGTGCTTCTCAGGGTAGACAGTGGGGAAAGGGCCAGGGCTGTAAAACAAGGATTGGGCCCCTCATGGCTCTCCTGCCATCCACCCCTGGCATGCCAACATCTTACAAGTCGTGGTTGTGGGTATTTTTGGCACTACGCCCAAAAACATTGCTGACCTCTGTGTTAAAACTTTAAGTAGGTAACAAGCATTAATGTCTGTTTAATCTAACTATACAAAGTTATATAAAAGTCTTATTGCCTTTGTACTTCTCAGCCCTTCACTTTGGGCAATTAGTCATAAGTGTTTGGCAGAACCTTTTATCACAACAATTGAAATCATACAGAGTCAAGTTATATTATGTCATAAACTTAAAATACTCAGCACCTTTGTTTAAGATTTTGCAATGTTCATCAAAATTAAAATAAACTAGATTGACTTAATCTTGAGACCATACTAAAAGGTTTGTGTTAATTGTGTTAACAAGCATATATTTAATACCTACTAAACTGTACTAAAGAAGATCTATTGCAGGATTAATTGACTATGAAATAAATGTATCCCTTTATTATTGTAATCTTCAACTTCCAAAGTACACTAATGTACTAGTTTTTCAATTAAAGTGAATAAAAAGCTTGCAATACAGAAGACTTTAAGAAAACCTAGTTTAAATGATAAAACAGATTCTTATTCTCACACAAAGTATACCCTGAAATCCTGAGGGAAGTTACAAATCAAGTAGTTGTAGAGGAAAAAAATGGCTTTTCCATAAAAGTCACTGAAAAGATTGGTTTATGCCCTGTGATTTATTTATATTGAATTTTAATTTAAATAGCAATGTAGCCATTATGTTACATCTGCAATGTATACATTCTCCACTTGGCTAACATCTGTTTATCAGTTCCCACACTTGAGTAAAATAAATGGCAAAGCCATACCCTTTGGTCTTCCAGAAAAGTTGGGGGATTTTTTCACTTGTTGATTTTTTATGTGGTTTTTTTATGGTGGGATTTTTTCCCCCTTTAAATATTACAAGACTGCTTAGAACATAGAAATATTCCAAATTCTAGTGTAGCAATTTTTCACTGTTTCATAAAATTAAGTTGTTCTCCTATTTGGATATGTGAAAAATCTTGGAAATAGGCTTCACATTGTAATTATTGAAAAAGGACATGGCAAGTGGAATAGCAGGGAGCACTTATTAACCAATTAGATGGTTACTAGCATCATGGGCTACTTGAAGATGTGGAACCTGCTCCCCTCCCCACCAAACCCGCACTTTACCAGAAGTAGCAGCAAGTTAGTTTGACCCAGCTCCGCAGGGACTCTGCACAGATCAGGCACTTCAGCGGAGCTTTCTGGTGCTTTTATGTAAAGCTGATTCAATCAGCTATTAGAAAACAGTGCCAAAAAAGACCCACGAAAGCACCTGACCTATACAGAGCCAGGCTGGATTAATGTGCTGCCTCTATTAGGCATGTGCTGGGCTCAGAGCAGGAGCGTGTCCAGTTTAAATTAAAGTAAAACATGTTTTGATTTTTTTTTCCATGTCTGCAAGCTGCTATGCTGTCTATCTTCAAAATTCAATATTAAAAATGCTGAATCTGACAAGATAGTTCATCTAATGTGCAAAACCATTCCATTTGAGTTTGTTTCTAGCTTGTAGTTTCATCTGGGGGTTCTATATGTCAACAGTTATGAAGAATTTCAGGGGGCAAATCCTGACTCTTCCAAACAGTTGGTTTATGCCCTTCTGCAAAATAAAAATAAAACAGTTTTCCAGTATTCATTTCTAAGGGGAGAAACCTTGAGTGAATCTTGTCATCATTGATTATAGATGTATTTCACAATTCTGAATGCAACATACTCCCCTGGGATTTAAAAAAATCCTACCCTACTAGTTTTTAATTTAAACAACACCTGCCATGTTCAATTTCCAACACATAAAGGAGTATGACTTCTTTGAAATATGCTTAAAAATAAAACTACTAGTATACTTTTGCCATATAAAAACCTGCCTAAGGAAAATTCAGGTTGGAATTTGCACTTTGCAGATTGAGAAAAGGTTGGTGGCACTACTGCAACATTTGCAAGTGTTGTTTTCTTTTTTAAAAAAAAAAGAAGTGACAAACTTAAAATTGATAATTTGCCCATTTGGTTATTCAGTCTCTTCACATGAAGAAAAGGAAGCCTCATAGGCAGTTATGTTTTTGATAGGTGGCTGGAAAATACACAAATTTGTTTTCTTTCACAGTGGCTTTGGGTTCCTTGAGAAAGACATGGCTAGATGTTTCAGAGGACTTGTAGAACACTGGAAAACTCTTCACTTCCAGAGCTTTAGTTTAAATCCATGCATTGTTGGTAGGCAGTAGAAGCTGCTACCTTCTGCTAGCTATGCAGCAAAACTACAATTGGTCCTGATCACAAACACCTACCACCTCCGCTAGTATCAGTTTATACCATTCATATCAACTAAACAGAAAGATCAGAGATCAACAGGTATAATATCTTGTACCATTAGCACTGAGGCATATTGTTTGGTCCCCATGCTGGACTATATTACATACAGTATCATACCTCTTATTTTAAAGAGGAAGAATTATGCAGGTAACTTCAGAGTTTTAAAAGAGTCTCCCTATTTGTACATGTCAAGCTGGATTGTTAAAATAAGATTTTCCAGTTTGTGATTTATTCAAATACGTTTCTAAAATCTACAGCAAATGGTTATACATTTTAGCAGTATGCATTTTATAATCTTTACTGTGCGTGAAAGCAGCATAAAGCAATTTTATTATTGAGCCATTAGCTTGCTGAGGTTATTCCATCTAAAACAATCTGCTCATAATCTGCTAATGAATAAGTGTATCTGTTAAGTTTCTACTGTCCCATTCACTTAGACCACATCTATTCAGCAAATGAGTTTCTTAAGCAATTAGACAATTTTGAAGTAATGCTACTTACAATCTTTTCTTATCTACCACTCGTTTGACCCGGATGGCTCTCTGTTCAGAGTACAGTTTACATACTCCTGTTGAACATGGCAAGAAAACATACAAACACAACAAATGCAGTTAGCAGATCATGATTAAATATATATATTATTATGCTCTTAAATATAAAAACAACCAGGCTGACCAGATTGTATAATCAAATGACCATTCAATTCTGGACTGTTATTAATTTCTTGAAAAGGCATGCAATTAATTACTTTTTAAATAGTCTTCAACAAAATCCAAGACAGCTGCTCTGTGCTCCTTCACTTGTGGAGGTAGGACATCCTTGAGTGCTAAAATGAAAAAGGAATTATGTTATACTTTGTTTTGAAATATATGAGAGTTCATGTCTTCAGTTTTCTCTTTAAAGACAATTTCACATTTACAAACAGACGTCATTACCAAACAGCATTATAATATATTTTAAGGAATCAAACAAAGATATTCATGACAGCAAATGATTTAGAAGAAATAAAACCCAACAGGAACCATGTTGTAATTTCTCTGTTCTATCATTGTGGGTACATCTACATATGAAATTAAGGCAAAGCAATAAACTCCAGAGCTGTTTGAGCCAGAAAAAACTGCTCCTGGGCGCACTGTCTACATGTGCACCTGGGACAGCAGCAATTTGAGCCAACGCAGAGCAAGCCCAGGCTGGCAGGGGGCACAGGGAATCATCCCTGGGTGGCAGCAGCTAGTAGTGGAGGAGCTGGCAGGGTCACAAGGGTGCTGAAAGTGCGGACCCATGTGGCTAGGTGACAGGCAGGAGTCTGGCACTCACCTGGTCACCATCTACATGTGTGTTTTAGTGGGGTTAATTACTCCGCCGTAAAACAGTACAGTCCCCAACAATACTATCTTATGGTGGAGAATTAGTTTACCATGTCCTAATACTGGTGCACATGGAGACGCTTTACCCTGGAGCTAATTAGTCTACTCCACAGTAAAGCACATATGTAGATGCCACCCTGTGTGTTGAAATTTCCTGCAGGCATGCTTCTTATGTGTGTCAGCTACTTGTGTATTATAGAATGGACTTGTGCTCAGGCTAAGCTTGAAGAGAGAAAAAAAAAGACATCTATAATATTCTAAATCAAGGGTTGGTAATCTATGGCCATCAGGCCAGATTTAGACTACAAAGTAACTGAAGTTGGCCTGTAGCAGCATGGAAAGTAGGCAGCATGAAGCTTTCCCAATGTATTCCCCTTCTGTTGCCCTGCACAGCACTCTCAACATACACCCCTCTATAACAGTTCCTGCTATTCTCTCCCCACATCCTGCAACAGGTGCTGCTTAACCATGGCCATCAAATTCAGCCCTCCCCTTGATTGCTGGGGACAGGAATTGGCAGAGTATGGTGGAGGTGGCAGGAAGTGGCCCATGGCAGTGGCTGACCTGGACATCACCAAAAGCAGGGCTGTCCAACTATTATGACCCCAGGGCTGCATGCCCCAGAGGTCCTGCTGAAGCTGACTCACTGAGCAGCCAAGAAGGGAAGATTTGTGGGTCAAGCTCAAGGGAGCATGGCTCAGTGGGAAGGGCAGTAGCCCTATGTTCTGACCCCTGCTCAGCAATGTCCCACTGCAATCTATCCATTTTATCCCATAACTGCTAAATAAAAAGTCAACTGGGAGCAAAATTATTCTATTTTTAACAGTGTACTTGTTGGTGGCTTGAATTATTGGCCTGTTAGTATACCTACATGGAAAAGACTCCTCCTGGCTTTGAATCAGGTCCATATGCCAGATTACAAAATTGCTACTTATATGGTAAACGTTAGATAAGCTCTTAAGATTTTTTCTTTTCCCTCATATGTCAGTTACTGAACATAGATGGATAAGTTCAGCTCTACATGCTGGATTCACCTCTCACTCCTGTCAAAGTAAATCAATAACAACTCCACTAAAGTAAATTTAATAACATAGGTGTAAGTAAGAGCAAAATTTGAGCCTATTCAACTTCAATGTACACTATTGAAGGAGGATATTCTGAACGATTTTCAGAATCACATCAGCATTTATCAGTAATGAACATCCATTTACTTCCACGTTTTACCTTCTGTTCTCAGCTGTTGAATGGCCTCAGCACATGTCCTCATAAATATCTGAGCATCTTGATCAATCTGATCACGTTCTGTATCTGTCATTCTCATGTACTCAGACATAACATGGCTAGAAAACAATAAAAGCATAGGTAAATGTTTTTTAATCCTTTGTACGTAATTAGTACAAAGATCCTGGACTCCCTCTGCACCAGCAATAAGGCATAATTGGAGTTGATGCTGGATCCCACAATCACACTCCTGCTCTGCATGTGTGGCATGGCAGGAGGTGTGGATCGCGTATCAGATCCCATCATACCTTTACCCAAATGTCTAGAGGGGCCTTTAGGTATGTAAAGACCTACTCATGATCATAACATAAGCCCTAAGATTTCAAATAAGAATCCATAGTGTCAAAAAACATCCCTACCTGTTACGTTTTAAGTATTTCGCAACAGAAAAATTGCTCCATTATTTTTCTAAAGTTGAAAAATGAGTGAAGGTTAAAAGCCGGCATTTTCCAAAGGGTGCCTTGAGTGTAAAAAGGCTGAGAATCACTGATTTGGATGGATCATGATATGACAATTAAAAGTAGAGGTGCACTGATACATTGGTCTCATTTTGGATAGGCACCGATATAAGGAAAACTGATGGTATCAGCAATTGGCTTTTTTTGACTGATGTGGCCAACAATGTTGCCAATAAATGCCCCATGCATGTGCGCAGGTAGCCAAGAGTGCAGCCTGGCGGTATGGAGAGCAGCCAGGTTCAGTTGCTAAGTCTGTTACGAGAGAAGGGGCGTGGGGTGGGCAGAGCGAAGCCCCCACAGTGAGGGAGGGAGTGGTGCTGGGGTAGGTGCTGCCCAGGCAGGGTGGGGCACAGGACAGAGCTGCAAACAGCTCGTACACAGGCACGGGGAGAGGCAGCGGCTCCTACCACTGCACACACCCGGGGGGGCATGGGGTGCGCATGCCCTCAGATCTGTACGTGGGGTAAGGGTGGGCTGTTGCTGTGACTGAGGCAGGGCGATTAGGCTGAGGCTGCACTCAGGACAGGCAGGGGTGGCCCTAGGCTGGGGGTGAGGCTACAGCAAATTTTGGGGAGGCTTCAACCTGCCTGTAGCCTCCCTCCCAGGACTGCTACCACTCATCTCGAGCGCAAACTCATTCAGCTCCAGCTGGGAAGAACCAAATGCCGCCCCAGACCTGGTCCGCGGCAGCAGTCTGCCCTTGCCCCACATGCAAATGTTATAGTATGCCCTCCCAACATTATAGTATGCCCTCCCAACATTTATTACTATAATAAATACTTAAGATAAAACATGAAGCTTAGCATATATCACTACATATAATATTCCACAATTCACATAAACCATATAACTTTCAACATATATAATAATGAATACATTGAACAAGATAGTTAAGGTTACAACACGATAAACATATATGGGGACTCAACTTATATAACCCAAATAAGTTAATAATATTTCCTAGACCTACATATTAACACATTAAGAACATATAAACCATATAAACTTCCTTAAAGAATACCCATAGCTATATAGACCTTTACACAACAACAATCACCCAAAATAGGGAGTGCACTCAGTACCTGTTCAAGGGGTTTTCTTGGAGCCCCTCCCCTTTAGGGCCCTGGGTTGGGAACATGCCCCTCCCGCAATGGAGGGTGGAGGTGGCAGACCCTCCTTTCCTGTGCACACCTCCCTTGCAAGGCCTGCTTCCCCAGCAACTCACGCTTCCTCCCTGAAGCAGCCAAGGCTGGTCACCTGGTGGCTGATCCCACAAGAGCCTCTCTCCAGCGGCGCCTTCGGTTCTCCTCAATGGCCTGGCACCCTGTGCTGGACAGCCCAGGGCTTTCTCTCTCTTGCAGGAACCAAACCCTTACAGGCTCTGGTTCCTTGGTCTGACACTGGAGGTCCTCCCTTTCCCAGGCCCTGCTCTGGGCACCGGGGCTCTTTTAGTTAAAGAAGGAGCCGCACTGCAGGGCCTGGTCACTCGGCCTAGGGCTGGGGCTAACTTAAACAACCATGAGCTGATCCCAAGTGGGTCCTCCATGCACCGACCTGTGCACCGGGTGAGGCCCAAGCAGCCGCCAGCTGCTCCCAGGGTGGATTCTCTGTGCGCTGATCCGCACACCATGTGGGGCCCGAGCAGTCTTGAGCTGCTCCCAGACCCAGCTCTCCATGTGCTGATCTGCACACCAGCTGCCCAGCCGCTTGCTGGATTCGCAGGCTCAAGCCACCTCAAGCAGCTCCTAGAGCCTGATCCCCATGAGCTTATTTGCACACCGCTGAAACTTAAGTAGGGTCCCGAGGACGGCTGTCTCTGGAGCTCCTCTCTCCTCACCGTCCCTTGTCATCTCTCCCCAGCATGCCAAGCACGCTCCCCTTTTACGCTCTTCAGGGGCTCCACCCCCAAAGTTCCCCGGACCTGGCTGGCGCAGTTCTGATTCAGGGCCAGCTGCTCCTTGCCCCCTTCCTTCGGAAAAAGGTGGGGCAGTGCTTCCCTTATGCTGCCTCCGGATTGATGGGTGGGCTCCACCAATCAAACAGCAGACCCTCGATCCTGGGACTCGACCCAAGCTCCAAAAAGGTAAGCCTGCTACACTTGTTACTATGTCATCCTGTCTACATGTCTAAAGGACCAGACATGTGTGTTCTATGAATCCAAAGAAGGAAATAATCTCCAGAGTTGTAGGATCTTCACAGAGCATGACACAGCCCTTGGCCCAAACCTAGGGACTATCAGCTCAAGCATCTCAGTTAAATTTGAAACAGCTGGTTAAACCTTTCAGAGAGGTCTTGAAATTAGAGCACTGAAAAAAATGTAGGGTCTAAACTGTAAATGGATTCATAACTTAAGAGATGACATAAACAACAGGAAACCAACTAGGAGGTACTATCTAAAATATGTAAAAACCTCAACAGTGATAGTATGACCCACTGGACTACAAAGCAACTTCAGAGCCCGGAACATTATCAATTCCATATCACAGAAGCAGTTTGGGGCTGGCTTTCGTACAAAGAACTAGTCATCTATTGGAATGCAGAACTCTACAGAAGTCTGATTCTCTTTTCAAGTTATACCATTGGAAATCAGGTATAATTCCACTGTAATCAATGATATCACATCAGTATACTACTGTCATGAGAACAGAATTAGGTCCATAGTCCATAAGGAGCCCTTTTTTAAAGTATTTATAAACTCTTTAAAATTAAGTATCTTTTAAAGTAATCTGTAGTCACACGTTACACCTGCAGATTAACTGAACTCTATTCAGTGGAAAAAGCTTTGCAATAATAGTTATTTGACATTTAACAGGTATCACTATTCAAATATCTGGCATTATCTGTATTGGTTAAGGGTATAAAACCCCTTTGTAACATTCAAGTATAAATTAAAAATGAATACATTAAATTCAGGTAAACTATGTTTTTTGGGCAGTCTTACCTTCTGTTAATTTTTCTTACCACTATTAAAATGTACTTTGCACCTAACAAAAATAAACTAGCACAAGCTCTTTGAATGTCAATCTACAGTTTAATGCTTCAGGAGAATAAATTATTAATGAACAAATCTCTGAGGTAAACAAGAAGCCAGGTATTAACAAGCATTTAAAAATAATGAAGGCATTTGGATAGCACCTCCCAAATATTAACTGTCTATTCATTGGGTTCCACACTTCAAGAAGAACGTGGACAGCTTGGGAAAAGTTCAGCACAGGGCAACAAAAGCTAGGGTCTCGGGATAAGACTCATGAGCAAAGGCTGAAAGATCTAGGGCTACTTACCCTTGAGAAGAAAAGTTGAGGAGAGTTTTGATAACAGTTTTCAAATACCTGAAGGACAATTATAGAGAAGATGGAGATGGGCTTTTCTCTGTGGCTGTAGGCAACAGGACTAGGAGCAATGGCCTCAAGCTGCAGCTGGGCAAATTTAGGTAGGAGATTAGGATGAATTTTTTGACCATGAGAATGGTCAGGCATTAGACCAGGCTACTTTGAGAAGCTGGGGAATCTTCAACTTTCAAGAACAGGTTGGCCTTGGCTGGGATGGTTTAATCAGTGATGATCCTGCCTTGAGCAGGAGGCTAGACAAGGTAACTTTATGAGGTTCCCTTCCAGGCCTGTTTTCCTATGATCCTACCCATTTCGGATATGGAAGGCCACAATTAATTGCCAAATTTTACCTTTTCCAAACAATACAAGCCAGAGGGTAAACTGTACCAGATCCAAAGATCAAAAGGAAAGCCGAGTGACATGCCAAGCAGGAGCAGGTGACCAAGAACTACATTCTGATAAACTGCTTTTTCTGTTAATCTGCAATAAAAACACCATGCTAAAAGGGATACCTGTTGCCTAGCTAATATATAACGGGAAGCACTAATCAGGCTTATGACAGCCTAAGGGTCCTTTAGAACCAACTCTTTAATAACTGCTTTGAAAAATACAGGGATTAAAGTGAGAAAAGAAAAGAAAATAATTTGAAAGTTCAATAGCTTAAAGCAAAACAATTTTTAAGGTATTTGGTCCCCATTTTTTCTTCCCCAGATTGATCAACAATGCTTCATTTAATGTTACCTGCTATTGCTTATTGAAGGGCTCCAGAAAGGAGATGAATTACTTGCACTTCATACACTCCCTATGTTGCACATTGAGGCATTTGATGGTCTGCCTAATGGCTAATCTGAGCTGGCCAGAGTGCTGAGGGATAGCTATGTCAAAGCCACAAGGTCAGAGTGCAAATCAAAGCAGAAACAACAGGCAAGACAAGGTCAGGAATCTGGGAGAACTGAGTTCCAAAGAGCCTGAGTCATGAGACAGAGGCAGAGGTCAAAGCCCAGGCAGGATCAGCAGCGGATAGCTAGATCTGGAATCAGCATACAGAAGCCAGGGGGCTAACAGGGAAGTCTGAAGGCAGCAAGAACCCTGTTGTTCAGACAGCTTCCACAGGGCACAGGAAGCCTTATAAAGCAGCCAGGAGCCCCAGGCCAATCAGGGGCCAGCAGCAGAATTCCTCTGCCACTCCACCTTTCTCCATGAGTTGTGGCCCTCTGAGCCCCTACTCTGGGAAGTCAAGATCAGATCCTGACACCCTACCAACCAATGCTTTTGGTATTTTATTGAATCTTTTCCTGTTAAATGTTGTTAAATGTTTGTTAGAGGACAAATTGAGAATACTACAGCCACAGACCTTCCAATGAGCATGTTCCTTGCTCCTTTTGGCAATAAAGAAAGATTTGCATGTATTCATGTGATACTGGGTGCATCTACACATGCAAAAGATCTGGGAACAGTTTACTCTTGAGTAAACTACTTGAGAGTAAACGTTCCCAGGCATGTGTCCACACGTGCTGGGACGTGGGAGAAGACTTGTTGCTCCTAACAGCAAACTGCTCCTGCTCCCTGTGGCCCTGCAACTGGCCCCTGTAGCAACCAGGGGAAGCTCTAAGCTCATCCTGGGTGATAGCCCAGGGTCCAGAAGACAGCTGTCTCTTGGAGGGGTCTGGGACACTGCCCCCAGAAACTGCCTGCTGCCGAGGTGCAATGGAGCCCAGCCAGGGACAATGTCCTCCTGCTCTGGCAGCAGAAAGCTCCCAGCCCCAGCTCCGCAATCATGGGGTTGAGAGATCCTTATCTCCCAGTGCCAGCTGTGTGGTCACAGGGCTGGTGTTAGGAGATCCTCATCTCCCAGCCTGAGTCCCCTGGTCACAGAGCCAGGGCTGGGAGATTCTTATCTCCCAGGACCAGCTCCATGGTCATGGGGCCAGCTCTGGGAGAGAAGGATCACCTAGCCCCGGCCCTGTGACCACGGAGTAGGGGCTGGGAGCTCTCTGCTGCCAAGGCAGAAGGACATTGCCTCTGCCTGGGCTGCAGTGGCAGAGCCTGCCCAGGCAGCAGGCAGCTGCTAGGGGTAGGGAGCAATCTCTTGCCACCTGGTGCCAGCTGTGCTCCTGGTCAGGTGTCTACATGCCTACTACTTTGCAGTTACTTGGAGTAAATATGCTACTTGCATTTGCAGGTAGCAAATCTACTTGCAATTAGAGCCAATTATTGCACAGTAAGCATCTGCACATGTAGATGCGGACACTTATGTGCAGTATTTAGCTCTACTGTGAAGTAAAGTGTCTCATATACACATGCCAAATGGGATGTATTGGAAATCTCTTTCTACATTTAAGGCAATTCCTGACAAATATAGTACCCTATTATGGAATTTGATAATTTGTAAATTTGAATTTTAAGGACAAGATTTATCGGCATCAGAGATGAGAATACGAGGAGTGAGAGGATGATGTTTGTCTATTACTAGAGGAAGAAAACCACAGTCCCCTTTAAGGTACTGCTAGGGTCTGTGGAAATTCATTGGGAATTACTGCTACAACTAGTTGCACAAAAGCACATTTCCAAAAAGTAAAGATAATTTTGGAAGCCAAAGTAAAATTAACTGACTTTTTACTCTGTTCAGTATTTTGCTTTTTTCCCAGTCTTAATGTTAGTAGGATACAGTACTTAAAGTTAACTGTAGCCAGAACACTTAAATCACCTAAGGGTCAGCGTACACCCACTTTTTATTGACAGAACTCTGTTATTCTGGCATTCAAGCAAGTCCACTGTTGAATCCACTCACTTCACAACATTCACGCTATAAAAGGCAGCCTTTTTTGTATTAAATTTACAGCACCACCTAGTGTTGGTCATTCACTATTCCATCTAAGATTACAAAGCAGTGAAAGCTAACCACCAGATCGGTTTGCTTCTTGTTTTAGAAAGAGAATTAGTCTATATGAATTTGGGTTAAGTCAAGATATATAGCTAAGCTCGATTTTTAGAGGTGCTCAGCAGTCATGGTTCCAATTTGTAAGAGTTAACAAAATGCCCTTTCTGTGTAAATGAAACATTTGCTCCCCAAATCTGTGTGAAATAGTGTTAGTAATCACTTGACAATTCACTCTGGAACATATTTTGTTGATATAACAACGAACATGGAGTATTGCAACAGAGTCATCAATCCTTGCATGAAGGATTGCATGATCCTTGCATGAAGGATAATTTTTGAGGCTCTGTTCCTGCTTTATAGAAAGGCTCTGAAAATAACCCTGGAGGATGGTGTATCTACCCCCAGAATTTTCTTAGGTGGAATCCTGAAGCATACTATCCTAATATCCTTTGGGGAAAGAGAAGATGGCTTGGGAGTGAAAAGTTTCAGTAAGCTGATCTTTAAATCTCTGCATTACCACCCTGTCTGATTAGTTTATCTTGACTCCTGCCAAAATCAGCATATGAACAGGAGGCAACTCAAATCCAGACAAAACTGTGGTTACACAGAAAAAATGTTGTTTACAGTCTTAAAAATCAGTGCACCATTAATCACTTTCTTTACGAAGAAATTAACTAAATATATATAACTAACCATCATTCAGCTTAAATTGAACGTTTTAACTTCTGATTACAGTGGTAATGTAGATCTATTGGAGATCCTAATTCAACACTTTCCAACCCCGTCTTCTATAAAGCAGACTGTTACACACACAGTACAAACACATATCAATCTGCAACAGTATTAAATTTGCAGGGCTTGGCCTGACTTATCAATATATCAAAAATGTAAAATTTGCATGTATATCATCCTTCATCTTTTCCTCATAGCTCCAATCTTGTAAGTAAAAAGAGTTGAAGCAGGCAGGAATCCTGTTTTCTGGGTGCTTAGCTAGTAATTAAATTCAAGAACTTCAACTGTTTCTTACTTGAGTTTAAACAAAGAATCAAAGCTGTTCTTTCTGCCCATAACTTCAAACAACCAGACTTGACATTTCAAGTTTGCAATACAAGAAAGCAAAGAAATACAGAGGTTATGGTCGCCTGTTCTCAAAAAGGTTCCTCAGCTCTGGAATTCCCTTCACAGAATCTGATAATGAACTGGAGGGGATGGTATGAGTTTATGTATCTGCTCAGATTATCAACCAACTACTTAGCAGCAGTAATTTTTTTTTTATCTTGGGTCTGCTGGCATCCAACACCACAAGGAAGTGGCATATTTTATTGTTAAAAGGCAACTGTGTATACAGACTTTCTATTTTATACATCTGGAAATATAGATTTAAAATACACAATACAAACTTACCTGTAAGCATTAATGTAGTCTTTTCTGTGTTGCAGAAGAAAATCTTTCAGTTTACCAATATTAGTTATCTGCATAAATAATAAAAAAACCATTAACTTCCATAATTAGCTAAAATAGGCTTTTTTTTAAATGTATGCCCGTTTTATTCCATTTTATAAGTTCAAAGATTAGTATATTTCCTGTGTATTTAAACTATAAAGTACTTAAGTGTATTTATTACACATTTAATAGTCCAGTTATGCAGGGTCCACACAAGTTATTTATACAGACTCCCTTTTGTAGTTAATTCTCATTGTTAATTATGCAAGCAATTAATACATAAAAATAGTCTAAGAAACTTATATTTAGTGAGACCTCAGCTTTGAGAAAAAGCACATATCCAGAAAGGTTATATAAAAGATTACATTAGGCACTAAATGTAATTTATGCTGGTAAAGAAAATCAACTGTACAAAAAGAAAAAAAAATGGAAGGGCCTCACTTCTTTAGCAGGTCTTCTTTTCAAAATACAAATAACCTACATGTATCTATAAGATCAAGTGTTAAAAACTAAACTGTATAGCAATCTAAAGACCAACTCCTTTTACAAAAAGGAAAGCAGCAGCAAACTGAATGATGTGATTTATGCTGGAATATTTTCAGCTTTCTATTTTTGCACTGACAACTTTATTGTCCAGATGGACTAATCTCTACCAAAATTCAAAGAGAATTTACACATACCAAGCTGTTTCTCTCTACCATCTGACAATCACTATGAGAATGTGAACACATCAGTGTGCATATGCATACAGAAGGAAAACTATTTTTCATTTTACTGCACATGCCTCATTCCATGAATCCATCTGCTTTCTCTACATCTTGCTTGCCACAAAGCACGTTTAAATAGAAAAAAGGTAGGAAGCAAACATTTTACCAATAGAAAAAAGCCATGTTTTAAGGAGCCTGTATTGTACAAGGTGCAAAATACGTTAGGGAAAAGATGGAAATCTAATAAAGTTTTAGACATCCTAAGGAGTAATGTTCAGAACTCCTAAAAGTGGGACTTAAATACAATTCAGAATTATTTTTTTAAGTATATAGTATCTGTATGTAGGACACAGTTTTCAGTGGAGAAATAGGATTTATTAATTATCCAGTTTCCAAAAGTGTGCTAGGAATTTTACAATGCCATGGTCATAAACACAGGTTTATGGTATTTGTGGGGAAATAAGAATCAGAAACTGCTTATCTCCTAAAATCCTGTTTTTATACAAATGTCTCTACTGATTAATCATGCAAAACACTAAGGGAAATAATACAGAACAGTGTATATATACTAAACGGTTTATTTCATCAAAATTTTAAAGGATTTTTTTTTTCTGGAAAAAGCATGAGGGAAAAATATACTGCAGAAAGACTTGGCTATTTGTATAACTGCAAGAACGTCAATGTGCCCCACTATACATGAATATCTATGCTTTTAAATAACATCATACATCTAACCTCTTCTCCAACTGCTGTTTCTTAGACTTCGCAATATTTGGTAGAATTTTCCCTAGTTAGTGTGTGTTTACACCAAGACCTCAGATTGCCTTAATACAGACCTGCTGAGGGTGGGTGCTGACTGGCAGCCCAAGTAGGCAGCAAGAAAACATTACAAAGAGAGGAGGTGTAAAATTAACCATCTGCTTCATACCATTTAAATTTACACACAAAATTAAATTTTAAAGACACAAAGGAGATGTGCAAAAATAATAAATATAATCTCTCTCAAAGCTAATATTACTGTATGATGAATGTTTTAACAAACTGTAGTTAGGAATGGTTTAAAGAATGAAAAGCAGCAGAATGACAAGACTGTAGTAAGAGAATTAAGTCAGCTGGTCACGCACAGAGTATTCTTTTCGAGTTCAAATTCTGTTTTCACATTTTTGAACTGAGCTGGCACCCATTTTCCCTCTTCTTCATTTGCAATGCTACTTCCATTAATTTGACCTGACACTATTATAACTGTTTCTAACTTCAGATTTTTATCTCTCATACTTGTTTTTAAGTATTTATTTCCATTTTTATCTATTTAAAGTTTCAGCATTATGGAAAATTTGCAGTGTGGGGGGGCAAACAATTTAGTAATGACAGTATACTTTTAAAAGCTTTATAAAATGACATCAAAATATCAAAAAAATAAATACACATACATCAATAAATCATACATGGTTAAAATCATTCTGTACATTCATCAGGAAAAAGCTAGGCAGGCTGGGACCAGAAGAGGAGGGAAGCTGTACTTCCAGAGTTGTGGGGACAGGGGAAAAGACAGTGGCTGCCCCTGGCCCACCCCCACTGAGGCCTGGTATACTCCCCCC